TTCAAGGCCGACAAGTCAGCGATTCACCACATGAATTATTCTTTGTCTCATTAGGCGCTCCACATGCTGTGCAGTGCATGAGCCTATGATTGGAGTGTGATGACACATAGAGTGAAGCCACTGCCACATAGAGTGATTAGACAGCATTTATTCACTAGCGTCTCTGCGTCGGCGCATTTGTAATCGGGATGCGTCTGGCATGTGGCCGTGCGATGCAGCGATAATTGGTCATTAGCTGGATATTTCAAATTGAAATAATTAATTTAAGTAAAAAATATTGAACTCAAGTTTCACATTTTAACAATAGCTGGATAGATTTTAAAAGATTTGTGGAAATTTAAAAATGTATCGAATGATTGAACGCTTTAAATAAATACCATACCATAATACCATTAAAAGGCTGAGTAAATAGTTGATTTAAGTGTTTAAGTTTTACACATGATGAATTGGAAGCGTAGTTAAAATTAATATTCTTCATGCTTCATCTTTATTCCCTGATTCAGAAGCCATGCAAATGTACTTTCACTTTTCAAGAACTCCATCACTGAAGCAAGCACGTATCGCACTCCAGTATCTTGAAGGCAGATGACTTCATTTACGACTAACAAATGACTTGCATTATCTTCTGTCCCTCATAACGATGTGCTCAACGCAACGGAAGAGTTTCAAGTCATCTTCTCATGCCCATCACCTTTGACTTGCGTGACCTGCATGGGCTCCCTTCTCTTGGCTCAGCTCTAACGAATGTTAGGTCATCTTGCTCTTCGTGGGTCTACTGAACGCACGCGACATGACCTAAAGAAGCCTAAAATGCACCATGCACAATGTGAATTTTATGCATAATTCATAGGAAAATGTTATACATGCTCGCTATATTTGTTGTTTATGCATCCTTTTGTTATTTGGAAGGCGTTTAGTTTCTATGTGTGGCCATAGTCATTCAAGACATTCAATTTGTTTAAACTGATGGCTTGTTTCGAGTTAGTCAGTTATAAAAATTACGCCTTTCAATTTAATCAGGTATACTAAGACTATGTACTGAAAATTATCTATGCAAGTATACTCAGGCCGGAACATGGCATTTTAAAATTGTTATTGCTATCATATCTATAAATTCTGCACTGCCACTTTACGAGAATATCAATACCTTTTTAATTAAGCTGGAGATGAAGATTCTAGTTAAGTAATTAAAACCTATTCTGAATATTTTCTCCAGAATCATCTAAAGGCCTTGAAAATGTAACGCAATTCAACTAAAATTAAAAACTATACCATCAATCAAATAAAATTTTTTGATCATTCACACCTTAATATGCCACGTGACTGAGACCAGTAGCACTTCCGATGCCCACATCATTTTTAGCAACCTTTACTTTAAAGCCGTTAGCAACCACGAACGTTAAGGCCGTTAACAACCAAAACGTTAAGGTCGCTATTTTTAGCGAGCACCCGCCAGCCATGTATGCTGTTGACTTTCGCCCCCGGCTTCGCAACTACTAATCCCAGATTACGTTCGTGCGCTTCTCGTCATCTCTCTTCACCAAAGATTAAAACGCTAAACAAATTTCTATACAACTTAGGGAAGTGAATTCTCAGTTGTATTCAGTGTCCGAAATAAGAATCAGAATATTATGACACGCTATTATTACTGTCAAACTCTATTATTATTTTATCTATCAATGAAGGGTGAGAGTAGCCATCTGCGCACAGAGATATAAGCTAAAAAAAATTTTTAGACCGAGAAAATAAATTTCTACGTAATTTACGTTAATCATTATTATTTAATGCATTCGCAACGTTCCTTTAACCAAGTTAGTTAAAATACATACTGTATCATGAGTCTAAAGCAGTTGAATATACGTTACTTACTTTTTGCAGGAAGCAAAAGTCTTTTGCTATAAATAAAATATATATAATAAAATATAATAATAAATTACTTACAAAATAATAAGTAATTTTCTAACTTATATGAGATACAGACGCATTTATGATGTTTGTTGAATTCGTCTCGTTGAGGGTTCAAGTATAGATAAATTAAAGTCTCGCTAGCGACTTTAAAGATACCTGCGCTGCAGTGAAGAACGTGTGTTCAAAATAATTTATCCTCAAAATATCCCATGTAGGAAATAATGAACGAGCCAAGGTATACGCAGCCCTGGCATGTGAATGTCACCGAGTCCAGCTGAGTAACCGTTAAGGTGAAGATGCGCCTCCCTCTCTCACAACCTTGAGGTTTCGCTTTCTAAAGTCGTTACTCATGTCAAACTCACCGTGCAGCTGCAGACAATGGCACGACCGGAGATGGCTCAGAGTGAATTGCTTCCTGATTCACAGTTACATAACATACCCGCTAATTCGATACGTAATTTTACTTCTCTCGTGGAATAAAATGTTAACTTTGTGTTGACTGATTTGTATTTTGCTGATGGATATTATGAATGACAGAAGATAGTGAACAAATAAGAGTGAAAGAAGTTAATGATTAGGAAATTTGGCGGGCGGGGTTATTATTATAATGAGGAAATGATTATTATACAAATTTGCAAGGTTTTGAATACCTGCTTATGAAATCGAACATAGGTATTGCTAACTTTAACACTCACAACTCATTACTTCGACCAGCAAATGTTTAGACTTTACAAACTTGTTCCAAATATCATGAAAAATAGAGACTGTATATTCTTAATTCAGTCATTCAATTTACGTTCCTTATTTTTTAAGGAACACTGTGTGGGTAACTTCTTTGGGTTAACCGTACAGAAAACCCAAAAAGACCCATGACTCATTAACTAACTACCTCAACAGAAACTCATTACAATACCCAGGATCCAAAAGTAATTTAAACAAGTTTTCATCATAATTCTAACAGCTCAAACACAAGCAAGGTTTGCTTGTTTGTAAACGAAACAACTATTCTGCGACAAAGCCTTTCGAATGTGCCTTCCCCACAAGGTTGTGGTCGCCCTGAGGCCGCGGTCTCAACAAATGTTAACCGCAATCCTGTCTCATGCATGTAAATAGCAGAATATACACAAATTAATTTTAAAATAATTGTGTACTTTTCATTAGATGCCTTATATTTATTTATTTTATAATAAGTCTGTTTATTAAATCATTTTGGAATTGATTTCATTCTAAATATTGTTATTGCTCTTAATATATTGTTATTGCTCTTAATATAAATTGTCAAATCATTTAATGATTTTGTAAAATGTAATGATTAGTGACCGTAAATTAGAAAATTGAGCTCATACCTGAAATGTTAAATCCGTATCGTTACACCATGGTTCGGAAATTATTGCCATTGACATTTTTTCTTATTGTTTTGGTTGTACAATTTTAATTACATGATTAAATTTCGAGATTTATTACGCCAAATTGTAAAGGCTAAAAATAAAATGTTTTCCAGTGATGGCTAAATACGTGTTGATAAACAAGCATTTAGCGATGATTTATATAAATCGCCAATAAAAAATATCAAAATTTGTGTGTGCAACCACCTTGTTTATGTTGAAGTAGGGCGGGCGTGGGCGGCCTGCCACGGTGAGGTGCATGGCGTGACGGACCGCCCACCCCGCCCGCCAAATTTGGTGGATTGTCCAGTCACGCCTTGCATCTCATTGTTGCAGAACCGCACCTGCCGAACCTGTCACCATGGCCGCCTCACTGCCCACCCTACTTCTGGCACTTGCTGGAACTCTCTTTGTGCTCACAACCTCCGTGACAGCCGCCGACCTCAATGCTCTTAGACAGCAGCTTGGAGGTTACCTGCCACCAGCTAATCCAACATGTCAGCCCTATGTAAAGACCACTACAGCTTACCGAGTAGAGACCACTAGAGTTCTGCAGCCGTTCACTGTTGGCCAAACTCAGACACAGTTCGCTCAAGCGTTGGCCACAGCTACAATGGCTGTCACTACAACAATGCAGCGTATTGAACAACGCATAATGAGTGTACCTGTGACTCGGACTTATGAAGTCACTGCTACCTCGATTACCACTCAAATTCAGCAGGTGCCGTTCCAGCCACCTCCAGAGACTCGTGCAGTTACCTCAACATTTGTTCAAGTTCAGACAAGTGTCAACCAACAGTTCGTGACTCGCACGGAAACCAGTATTCGTCCTGTAGTTATTACTCAAACTCAAGTGAACACTCAGTTTGCTCAAAGCTTTGTTCAACAGACCAGAGTTGAGACTCGTCAAGTAACTGGCAGAAATGAAGAGCGATTCGTGACCAGAACAGAACAAGCTGTTAGAACGCAACAAATCCCTCAACCGGCTTTTACATCAAATATCGCCACAACACTCGTACAAACAAGTCAAAATATTCAATTCGTGACCCCTCGACCTGAAACTCGAGTTCAAACTGCCCAGAGCACAGTATTCAGCAACTTTGTGTCGCAAGTCTTTCAAACTCAGACAGCGGTCGCCACGCAGCAAGTTGTTCGCACCCAACCGGTCCAAGTTACGCGTACCCAGGTCCAGACAGTCACCAGCACTCGTGTGATGCAACAGGTTGTCGTCAGCACACAATTTGTCGACCGAGTAGTAACCACCACCATTGTTATTCCTCAAGTCGTCACTTCGACCAGCATCTTTAATCAAATCAACACTCAGTTTGTGACACAGACTGCTGTATCAACGGTCATTCGAACGCAAACTGTTCAAGGCCTGAATGACATACGTGAACAAGTCATCACTTCTTACAGGAATACGGTCGTCACCTCCGTCAATGATGTACAGGCCGACCAGGCAACAGTTTTCCAGACCGTGACTCAACCTTGTGGGCAACGGGAACCAGTTATCCAGCAGACTGGATATAATTACAATGAACCAAACCGGCCATTTAACTTTTAAAGTGTAATCAGAGGTAAATTCCAAATATTTCTCAACATTTTTAACTTCATTAAGTGAAGCATTAAATTAGTTCGTTAATTCTCTAGCTCTTACATGTAGTTCGGTGATGAATTTTCAAACCAACGTTTCTCTTTTCTTTTCAGAATGCGATCATTAAATACTCTACCGACATTACTACTCCTTCTGCTCGCACGGTTCAACGAAGGCGCAAAACTTCCTCGGGATGCGCCACTTAGATCATCGATAAACCAACTTTACGAATCACCTCTTCAGGGATCGGCAACTCCAGACTTTGGATCAAATGATCTGAATGCCCTGGACAACCTGCTGACCAATCAGTTTGCTCAGTCAGCTGGTTCTGAAGGGGCTGGTTTTCAGCAGGGTTTCGTTAGTGGGGGCAGCGGGTTTGAACAGAGTGGCGTGGGCGTGAGTCTCGGAAGTGTCACTGGAGGCGCTGGATTTGAACAGCAATCGTTCGGGCAAGTCACTGGGGTTGGTCAAGAAGTCGGTTTGTCTGGTCAATCGTTCGGAGGTCAGTCACTGGGTCTTGCAGGAGGTCAATCATTCGGTCAATCGGGTCAGTCCTTCGGAAGTCAGTCATTTGGCCAATCAGGACAGTCATTTGGCCAGTCAGGACAGTCATTTGGCCAGTCAGGACAGTCTTTTGGACAGTCAGGTGTTTCTAGCGGATCTTTCGGTGGTGCTCAGTCCTTCGACTTTAGCAGCGGCCAATCCCAAGTTCAACTTGATGCTGGATCATTCTTCCCCGACAACGCTTTCACAGGCGTGGGACAGCAGGAACAGATCTCCTTCGGGTCAGGCTCAGGAGGAGGAGGTGGAAGCTTTGGCGGTGGATTCGGCACTGGATTTGGAGGAGCAGCTGCAGCCGGAGGCGGTGGCTGCGAGACTCGAGTGGAGACTCGTTTTGAAACTCAATTGTCTACGCAGATTGTTCCCACAACCATCTTCTCGAATGTGGTAGTTACCAGAACATCGCTAGGCACCACGACAATAATTGTTCCTCAAACAGTCGTCATCACCAGCACCAATGTTCAAACCGTTTTTACCACTCAATTCATTACCAACACTCGCACTGTTTTCTCAACTGCCGTGCGAACCAGCCAAATTCCCCAGCCGGCCCAAACCGTCTTTATTACGCGAACACAAACGCAAGTTAGCACCGCTTTCATTCAAAATACTCAGACCAGATTCACAACCGTTGTGTTGCCCCAAACCAGAGTTGAAACTCAATTTAGACAAGTCACTTCAACTCAATTCCAAACACAGTTTGTTACAAATACTCTTACCAATACTATTCCTGGTCAGACCTTCACTCGCACTCAATTCGTTACGTCAACTCGAGTGGTGACTCAGCAGCTTCCTGCCCAAACTGTGTTCGTTACACAGACTAGATTTTCTACTTTCATTAATAACATTGCGTCTACTCTTCCTGCTCAAACTGTTTTCGTCACTTCCACACAAGTAATTCCTCGTGTGAATACAATCTTCAGCACTCAGTTCGTCACGCAAACTAGAACTCAGACTGTTGAACGAACTCAACTGGTTACTCAAACACAGACGGCGTTCTCGACACAGGTTGTTTTCTCAACTGTCATTCAAACTCAGGTTCAAACCCGTACTGAAGAGCGCATCCGAACACAAACCCAGCAAGTCCCGAGCCAGGTCGTCCAGACTGTGGTGTCTACCAACTTCCGTAACGTCGTTAACACCCAGTTCGTCACCAGCACCTTCGCCACTGTCCAGCTAGTTACGGTCCCAGGAGTTACCTCCACTATCGTCAGAACCGAGACTCAGGTCAATACAGTCACCAGTACCATTGATAACTTCCGAGATGCTGGAACTGTCACTAGAACTACGACTGTACAGGGTTATTGTGGAGGTGGTAACGTCGTCCAGCAGACCCAGGCAGGATACAACTACAACGCTCCAGCTGTAGCTTTCGGTCGATAAGTGTTCAACTTTGTCAGCATAAAGAGCAGCGATGTCGTAGTTGTTTGGTGTTCACATTCTCAATGATGAAAAAACATCCAATTTATTTTATTTAATTTTGGAAAGTTGTGCCTGTTCAAACTTGATATCCGCATGCCTATACGGAATCTAAAACTTAATTCAGAATTTCTTCCGATTATTTAGGACGAATTTTTCATTCCACGATAGATTTCTTTATCATACTTTAACATAACTAAAGTGCCATGTTTCTCTGTCCCATGTTAAATTAAACATCCGACTCAAAATCCGTAGAGTTCTTTGCCTATTTTTTTAGACAATTTCGTATGGAATATGCATTTAATGTAATTTTCTTTGTAAATAACACGTAAATTTATTTCAATGACATAATTTGTGCAACCCATACTACCAATGTATCTGAATTTCAAGAGATAAGATTTCATAAAAACTCTAATACCATCATGATCGCTGAACGTAAATCATGAGGGTTTTTATGAATTTTCTTGGATGTTATTATTTTCATCTGAAATTAAGACACAGATTTTAATTTGTACCACATCTTATACGAATAAATAACTAATATTTGTACGTTTTTTTTATGACCGACGATCTATTTTATATAGAATTATTAATGAATCCTGTACTATATAATGAATCCTGTACTACTATCAACGTTAGAAATGTTAACAGGAGAATTAATACAACGGAAGAAATGTAAGGTTTATTACTAATCGAACAAAGTTATTATTTATCACACAGAAGAGCATCACTTAGAGGCAGCGAAAACTTCATAAGTATAATTCCCATTCATAACTGAATGCGATGATCCTGAGAATCTGTCTAAATACATAAACTAGTCTAGGTATTACTACTTGCGCAAATGTCATTTGTCTAATATTTCAAAATTTATTAATTGATGACACAAAATTATCTAAGTTAGACAGTAACATTGAACCTCACTATGCGATTGCGGCACATAATGGCATCACAAACCCATGAATTTGGTAAAATTTTAAAGGAACTCATGGGGCATGCATTCTCATACGAAAAGAGCAGCGTTTTTGCCTAATGTTGTCATGCAGAAAATTTTTAGAAAAATTAATGCAAAGCACTCATTTTCAGATTCCGAACAGTAAAATTACACGTTTTCAATAGACTACCTTTTCTTACTACAGTAACATTCGTTGAGATAGACTTGTGCGAAAATTGACAAAGACTCGTTTACTGCTCCCAATCGTTCGCTAAATAATAACATTGCGGAAATCACGTTCTCTCGATCTCTACTTGAAGGGTTGACCAGCAGGGCAGTTTTGAGTAACGGTTTGCGTGGCATAGACAATGGGCGTTGTGAGAGTGTTGGTTACTGTCTTGTACACTGACACGAATGTCGTAAAGGTGCTGTACGATGTTACGACTCCTCCAGGTACAGTTACCGTTCGTTGTACCCCCGCGTAGTGAGTGGACACCCTTGTTGTAATCGCAGGAATATCGTTGGTTACAGACACAGTCACATACGATGGCACGGTAGTGGTAAAGTATTGAGCTTCTGTTACAGTTTCGGTAATGGTGGAGAACTGGGTGTTAACAGCAACACCCAAGCGGAAAACGGAGGAATATGTGGTCGCAGTCTTCGTCAAGATGGTGGGTATCGTGGAACGAAGAGTCTTCGTACGCGTTCCAACGCTGGTGGTGTATATGGTGGAGTACGATGGAACAACAACAGTTTTGGTACGGATGATCGTCTCAGGCTGGAGAGTCTGAGTTGCAGTCAATGTTTCAGTTTTATAGACCGTTTCGCTGACGTACAGAATTTGAGGCGGTAGAGTATTGTCCAGACTCACTGTCCGAGTTTGTTCAATGACGAAAGACCGGACAACAGCTGGCAGTTGAACAAAATCAGTTGTGTATAAAGGAATAGACACAGTAGTTGTGGATGCCCGAGAATTTGTTACAGTGACAAATGCTGTCGTTCGTGACACAACCGTATCGGTGATCGTTGTAAGAGAAGTTCTATCAATGAATTCAGTTACCAAAGAAGTAAAAGTTGAGGTATGAGTATTAGCAGGAACGAGTTTCGTCTGAGTAGAGAAACGCTCTACCGTACTGTATACAGTCGAAATTTGGGTACGTCGCACGGTGTTGGTGTGGATCCTTGTTGACTGAATAGTAGCAATTTCAGTCCGAGTACCAGAGAGAGTATTGGTCACTAGAACGGTACTCACTATGTTGGTAGCTATCGGAACAATGGATAGTGATGTCGAACGAATGGTGACGGTATTTCGAATACAATCTTCCTTATTAATCCCTGCTGCGGCATTTGCATCAAACCCGGTCAGAAACTGACTTTCACTTCGCTCGATGTTGTTTTGTTCGGGGTCGAATTTCGGAGGGATAAATTTTTCTCCAGGAGTGAACCCTTCAGGAAAGCCAGACGATGAGCCTCCAAATGATCCGAAAATTTCTTGCGCATCTTGACCAGCTGCTGGGGAGAACTGTGATGAACCACCCGAAGACCTAAATGATTGTTCTCGATTCCCTTCTCCAAATGTGGATACTCCTGCTCTAAAATTATTTCCAGAAAATCCACCCACTTCAGTTCCAGACCGAGATCCACCAGAATGCGACGCTCCTGTACCAAATGCGTGAGCCCCTACATTATGCCTTGTATCATGAGAAAAACCTCTTGATAAAACTTCACCCTGAGGCAAAAATTTAAAATTGTTTATGCCAGCATCGCGCGAATTTGTATTAAAACCAGGAAATGCTAGATTTCTTGTTCCATCTGAGCTTGATAATTGATGGTTAAACTGTAAAGTTCTACCTCGGGAAACAGAAGGACCTCCATCATCTGCTTTGAAATCAGGCCAAAGAGGATCGGCTGCTGCTTGTGATTGAGACCTCTGACGTTCTACAAATTCAGACGAAAGGGCGTTACTTTGAACAGGTTCAAAGGCTTCTACTAAAGGTTGACCTTGTACCGTTTCAAGCACCGGGGAAGACCTAGCAAAACTTTCGACAACAGATGGGGCATCGAAAGAGGGTGAAATGTAATGGTTTGGAACAGGAAGTTTGCTGCCTTCAGTAGATGAGGCAAAAAGGCAGCCCACCGTAACCAGCAGAGAGAATGAGAGCACACGCATCCTGAAATAGAATAAAAAATGAGTGAATATGCTCCTTACTTAAATTTAAAAACTAGAAAATACACAGACATGAAAATTATTTTTGAAGTAATTAATAACTTTAGCAACTAAACCTCATTTACCTTATGTAATTCATACGCAGTTTATTTATGGTTGTCCATAGAAATAGCCAGACGGTGTGACAGTGGTGTATTCGCCACATTTGAGATAAACTGTCGCAGGCTTCGTCATTGTAGGCGGCTGGTATTCGGACGTTCTAGTGAAAAATTCAGTGACAACATCTGTGAGGATCATAGGTATAGTTTGTGGCGGACTTCGCTCTGTGTGAACTCCAGTACCGACTACCGTCGAAGTGACCAAGAATTCCTCAGTCACATGTCGCTCGACTGTAGCAGTAAGAGTTGTTACAACAGGAATGGTGACGGTTGATGGTAACACTTTTCTGACCGTGCGGGTGACTTCAGCAAAGACTTGTGACGCGGTGAAAGACGTGGCAGTGTCAATAACGGTGGATGTTACTGTATCGTAACCAGTGCTGAAAACGGGAATGTAGTTCGTCTCGGTGGTGTAAGTAAGTACTTCCGAGTACATGATCCTTGGCTCAGTGCTCGCTTCACGACGATCTTGCAATACAGGTCGTGGGGTGACGTATGTAGTTGCTGTTGCAGTGTCGGTGTTCGTGAAAACAAACGTTGAGGTAACAGGAGGAGGCGTCTGGTCAACAGTAATGCTGATCACTCGAGTGTTATACGAAGGCTCAAATATAGGCCGTTGATTTAAAGTAATTGTTCTGGTTTGTGTTACAAAAACAGCATCTGTACTAACTTCCGTGAGAGACACTGTGCGTGTATGAGTTTCTGCCTGGACATGCGTAGTGGTCTCCGAGATAGTGTGCACCTGCAGTCTGGTGCTGAGCGAAGTAACTGAAGCAAACGCCGTGCGCAGCACGAGAGGTCGTTCAATATTATCAATCAAAGTTTTTACGTCGGTCACAAGTGACGTTCTACTAATTGTGTTGAAGGTCTGAACTTCAACTTCTGAAATAACTTCCTGAATTTTGGTGACGGTTTCAACATCTTGGGATAAAACTGGAACTGTTTGGAAAACCGTGACAATTTTCGTAAATGGTTGGTAGACGAGCTTTGTTTCGACGAGTGTGGAGGTGTCGGTCGTTCCGATGCATCGCTTAGCAGCGACAAGATTTTGAGGTTGGAGGTATCCTCCAACTAAACGAGGAGTCGTTGGTAGTTTATCACCCCAAATTGGCTGATAAACGACAGCCAGCAGCGACAACAACAGCAGCAGCTTCATCCTGCAACGAGATGCAAAACGTGATTGATCGTACCAGAGGGCGGCGGACCAACCACGGCTGCACCTCGCTGCAATGGCTGCCCGCCGCCGTGTTACCGCTACATGACTATCATGTTCAGGACTAATTTAGCTAGCCTATTTGTACTGTATTTTCAAATGTACTTATTTACATGGCGTTGAATAATAATTCAAACGAAAACTACCGCTTCAATACCGTTACCGGACTCATTCATCAGGACTAATCCTGCTAAGCAAGATCATTTATTTCTTCACGGTTACTCGCTGATTTACTCGTACATTGCGTACAACAATAATTAAAATGGAAACAACTGCTTCGATAACGCTATCGGACTGTTATATTGTAGGACAATATGGCTCAATTCGACCTTACGATGCATTAACGGAAGTGTTCCGATTCAAATGAAACTAAATAGCAACAAAAATGAAAACAACTCGGTTCAACGTTAGTTGAACTAATAGTGACTTAATTGTGTTCATCGATTTGCATGAATCTCACATAAAATTGTTCTAAAACCCATCACTACAAGCCGCTCCATATTTTTTTATTTTGAATATTTTCGCTCAATATATTGGTTAGGCAAAGACCTTCACAGATCTGAAGTCTGAATTTTTTTTTTTTTTGTAGTTGCTGTTAGTTTTAAGTACTCAAAAGCCGCGGGCTAATTGATTTCCTTGTTTGAAACGCAATGAGTTTAGGTACTTAAATAGTACTAATTTTTTTCTTAGTTTAGAAATTTAACTCTCTTGACAAGTTGTCTAATTTTCATTGTAAGAAGGACTTCAGTTATTTTTTGTTATATCAGTAAGAATTTAATTTATGCTATATTCGAGCTTGGGATTTTCTACTATGACTCATTGTATGCAACCTTAAAAGTAATATTTCATATATTAAATATATATCATACGTAAATAGCATAATTTAGATATTACCGATAGCAGGGGTTGCATATGTCCCTGCTGCATATAATCTTTTAACGAATCGTGAGTTTTTAAATACATATGCTTACGAGGCGTTAGCTTTTACATTGAACAGAGTGAATGTGGAAAAAATGTACTTGCCTATTTTACATATAGGTAATAGTTGATCTATGAATTCTTATCATGGGACTAATTTTACTTATCCCCTCGGAATTTGGCACTCACTCGATCATTGCCACATGAGTATTTTAAATGATTTTAGGCTGTATTCAACACAAAATTCTAGATTGACCAAACTAATATAAAGTTTTACACAATTAAGTTGTTCCTTAGAAATTCCCTCAAGATGGGTTAATGCATTAACTGCATTCTATTTCCCATCAGACAAACTAGAAAAAAAAACAAATTACAAATCTAACTTTCGGATTCAATGTTTTGTTAGAATTCTCCCAATTTAGTTAATCAATAAATCGGAAATTACTTCCACTAATTTCTTCAATTAAGATCGTCACTGCAGTTCTCAAGCCTCCCTACTTTAATCGATTTATATCAATTTTTATAGTGCTCGATTTATATTCAATTTTTAGTTATGTTCTACATCTAGAAAACTTAGCCGCGGATTAAGAATCGCTATTAAAAGAAAAATTAAAAATATGTGAGCAAAATAATTATTTTGCTCACATAGCTACAACTTAAATTTTAACGCATAAGGGTAAAAATATGCAGAAAAATCTAAATATCACATACAACATGCCTCCAATAGAAACGAAAATATTTACCTGTATCCAATTCAATTCCAAATTGTTTATTTCTGACGTGTAAAATTATAAACGTACCTGACGAGAGCGATGCGACGAGAATCCGAATCTGCACCTGAGTACCGCGGACTCAGACTCTGACTGATACCAAGTCCGGATCACTTCAGTTAAATACTCCGAGTCCAGAGTGGAGAAGTCCAATCCTCTAACGACCATCACGACTATAGGCCTCTCGAGAACACAAAAAAATATATCGGGATTAAGCCTTGCACCAGTTCCATCTTCGGCGCTTGGGAAACCCACAGGATTAGTGGATGGCAACATGGCAACCGAAGGAAGATGCGTCGTAAAGATCCAACGAACGTCTTTTCTGACCGTCTTCGATGAACGTCTTAAACGTACAACTCCTCGTCAGTTAAGACATTTTAACAGCGTCTGGAGCTGAACATTACGAACATCGCATGGGTTCTCTCAAGTTACAAAAAAAAAATTATGTAGATCGAAGATTTACTCTATGGAAAATTCATTTTTACTCCCGTATTATTATTGATTATATATAGATTGTGTTATAAAAGCAAGAATCTACTTCAAAACACAAACTAAAATACCAGTCAGGTAGAAGATACTTTCATTAAAACCTCATTAACGACCATTCTATTAGAGAAACAAAATTAACATGCATATTCAAAATAAAATTAGAAGGTACAACATATATACAAATAAAGCAACAGAAATTGAGAAATTGCTGATAATTAAATAGTAAAACACCTTATTTTCATTATGACGGATTTATTTATACACTTAATTTTGAAACAGTTTTGTCACAATATCCGAGGTAAGAACCACATTCACCAGGCAAACTCCCAGCAACAGGGCGAGCAGCATCAACAACTACACTTGCCTGGCAACAAGAACAGGTGAGCGGTTGCTCTCCCAGCTGACCCAAAATACAATGATGCGCAGACAAAGAACGCAAAAGTGAATGATGTGCTGACAAAGTACGCAAATGTGAATGATGCGCTGACAAAGAACGCAAAAGTGAATGATGCGCTGACAATGAACGCAAAAGTGAATGATGCGCAGACAAAGAACGCAAAAGTGAATGATGTGCTGACAAAGTACGCAAATGTGAATGATGCGCAGACAAAGAACGCATGAGTGAATGATGTGCTGACAAAGAACACGCAAAAGTGAATGATGCGCTGACAAAGAACGCAAAAGTGAATGATGCGCTGACAAAGAACACGCAAAAGTGAATGATGCGCTGACAGAGAACGCAAAAGTGAATGATGTGCTGACAAAATACGCAAAAGTGAATGATGCGCTGACAAAGAACGCAAAAGTGAACGATGCGCTGACAAAGAACGAAAAAGTGAATGATGCGCTGACAAAGAACCCAAAATTGAACGATGGACTGACAAAGAACGGAAAACTGAATGCAGCGATGATAAAGAATACATTTTTGACAAGCTGAGGAGTTATTGAAGAAAATTTTGCCGAAGAAATCTAAGCATCCAAAAAGTCTGTTACTTTAGAAATACTGAGGGCTCAATTTTAAATCGGCACAAACTTTTAAATTTTCCATCAAGCCAATGGAAACTGGAAGGTTAACTGAAAACATCGCAACGTTAAAAAAAGGCTTCAAGCACGAACAAAGGAGTGAAGGACGCAGCCTGAGGCCGCGCGTAGGACGCGTTGAGGATCCTTCGATAGGCCTAAGCTGTGTCCTAAAACGCGGCCGCAGTAGCGGTAAGCCCGCCACAGACATAGGCATACTACACTTAGAAAAATGATTTTGGCATTGTCTAGATAATGACACTCTACTTACATACAGTAAGAGTAGAGAGCGAACGGAACACTGCATGATTTTTGGACAAATTTTCAATCCTTTTTCACACACCTGTTATTGTGAACAACTACCTTGTTAACAGCCCTTATGTTATTGTAAACACCAATTAACATCATCAGAATCCTATACAGCATATGAAGATTATTTATTGATCGTTAAGCACGAGAAGAATTTGTCAAAATAATTGGGAGGCAGACAAGTCAGCCGAGTGCTGACTTCAACAGAAAGCGTCAACACTGTGAAAGCCTTAGATACTCAATCAACAAATATGTAAAAAGTATAACTCAGTACTCACTGCAGTGAGTGACAGAGAGCGCATTTTCTCGTCGACGAAAACGTGAAGTCACGGACGGACGGACAGACGGACGGACGGACGGACAGACGGACATGGCGATCACAATAGTGCATTTTTTCATAAATGAGAAAATGCGCTAAAAACTGATTCTTCGGACGAAACGATGAATAAGTTGAATTTTATGATTTTATCATCACTTTTATTGAGTGTGAATACGACTGAATGCATTTGGAAGTCGACCACTCTACGATTTTAACGTAAATGTTCAAACTAATGGAAATTATAAATTTGTTAAGCAAAAATATTTTTTATTATTCAAAGAAGAATCAAATAGTATTTAAATTAATTGCACTACTATGATTATGTACAATTCCCATGCATGAACAAAAAATAAATAGAATAAAAGAGAGTCTTGATTTCTCAAATTCCATTTTATCCAGTTTTTTTATTGAGTTGAAAGGAAGACCAGAAGAAATAAAAACCCAGTATATATAAGAGGTAAAATTTATTAATTGATTTAACGAAGAATAATTTATTTGCTATGGGAATTTTCCAGACAGTTGGGCTCTGTAAAGACGACAACCCGTACAACCCTTGCTTCATGCCTTTTTAGGCTTTGGCCGCGATAAGAATAAGGGATAGATTATGAGGGGATTCTACAACAGCAATATGGTTTTAAAACTGATTATCTCAGTCTTGCTGGAAGACTGGCTCTCTAGTATATAAACTCCGTGAAGTCACGTATTCTTCACTCAGCTTTTGGGCTTCATGAGCCGGCGCTTGCTCCTGCTCTTACTCAAGATCCCGGACTAGTTCTTGAAGCGCATCTTTCTTCACAGTATCTTCTGCTCAGGTGAAGATTTATTTGCCAATAACTTAAATAGATCTCAGGGTTTCTGTTTAATTAGAGTATGAAAACTGGTTCATTTAACTTTTCTCTCCTCTTGTGTTGAATATTAATTTAGATTTTTTTTTGCATAAACAAAAATTATCCATGAATTTCAATTGTAATTAAATTTCAGCCTCACCTTTTACCACAACAATACACATAGTTCCCGCGGTGGAAACTTTTTCATTAAGTCACAACACACTGAGTTACTTTTGTTTAAAATTTTTAGTGCAATTCAATTAAGGACTTGGCAAAGATTCATTGACGAATAATGAATGATACATCATAGACCATATTGTTTTACACTTAATTTGAAATTCTATTAATGACCTCGCGAGGTCCATTGCTCTTGCTTAGCTTGGCAAGAGCGCACGAAGGCTTGAAACTCTTGTTAATTAGGTATATTTTTCCCAGTGACCCGCTTGACAGACTGAAATTTATTTTTACGCGATTAATTATTATCATAATTCCACGGTTGATTCGATTTCTTATCAACATACTTACACAGCTCCTTCGCCACCACGCGACAAACTTTAACCGCAGCATAAAGGCTTGATATCATAGATATAATTTGCAAATTTTACAAAATAAAATGTGTATTGGGCTAAATGTATTTATATCAAAATGTATTTAAATTTGACGATGTAAAGATACTAGCAATAACACCATGACAGCGACAGAGTTTCTAATTGAGGTAAACCAATATATACGAATTAAATTTTTTTCAAACATCATAGAGTATATTTCCTTTGAATTTTGTGGAAATTTGTTGGCCCGGGATATAATACTCCATCAATTGAGGATACTTCTAAGTTATAAGTTTTATTTAATTCACTAATACGATTGATGGTATCGATTTTGCTGTGGAAAGCTTTACATCAGTGAGCTTTGAAGTGTGTAATTTTTAATGAAGGAATCGAATGCTTTAGTAATGCTTAATATTGCAATTCATGTCGTCGTCAGAGACCTCGTGTTAATTAATATGAAACTCTGAACTATCGATCCAATATACAAAAACAACGAAATTTGACACAGCCCAAGAAGATTGTCCTCCTGTATTGATCCTTGATTGATGGGAAAATTGAGGTAAATTTTAAGTAATATTTCATGCTAAATTCAACCTTCAACTCTGATTTCTCAACTCATAGGAACCAAATGCTGAAGTGCAATGTTGGTGGACCGATGCTTAACAAATGTTTCGAAATTTATTGCTCTTGAAAACAATATTAAGAGAAACAATCCAAAAACAATAATATTTTTCCCCATACCTGTGAACTTGACTGAAAATTCAGTCGTGCGATTGTTTGAGAACGATGTTGAATCGGTTCTTTTCATTTGAGTTACTCTCATTTAACGTCTTTTTAATCGTTACACTTGAATTATTAAATAGTCTATTGTAGTTGGGTTGTTCCTGATATACGAGTCTAGTAGCGGTTTACATTTGAATTATTATTCAACGTCATGCGAGTCACTACATTTGTATTTTTAAATAGTATAGCCTATTTGAATTAGTCTTGCAATATGAGAGTCAAGTAGCGGTAACACGGCGGCGGGCAGCCATTGCAGCGAGGTGCAGCCGTGGTTGGTCCGCCGCCCTCCGGTTCGATCAATCACGTTTTGCATCTCGTTGCAGGATGAAGCTGCTGCTGTTGTTGTCGCTGCTGGCTGTCGTCTTCCAGTTAGCTTCGGCCGTACCAACTCCTCAATCTCATCTCGTCGGCTCTTATTTACCGCCCGAACAAGAAAATCATTTTACGGTCCTTGATGCCGTAGTTGCTTTCTGTCCCGGCACCACCACTTCTGTCGTAACTCAAACATTGACCACTAGTGCCTACAAGACCACCTACGCCACCAGCACTGTTACCTCTAGGCGAACTGCTATCGTAGCACGCACTAGCACTCTTACCCGAACGCAAGAATCGATACAAGAGAGGTCAGTCACAAGGGCTGTCACCGAAACTCTCACTGATTTCCTGACCTACACAAAAGAAGTCATTGTTCAAAGTGCTCCTCCTCCAGTCACTGAAACTCGTACTACTGTGGTTATTTTCACGTTGCCCTCAACTCAGGTCATCCAAGCAACATCAACAAGTACAGTGTTTGAAAAATCGACTGGATATCGCTTCAGAAATGCGATTGCCTTTAGTACTGAGCCTGTGGTAAAAACCATCACTGAAGTTGTCGAGGTAAAGCCTCAGACGGTTGAAATTACCCAAACTTATCAGACCGTTAATACCTTTACTAAATTTGCGCCTCCCGAGACCATAACTCAAACTGCGACTTCTGTGTCGGTTTTCACAGAGCGTTCGATCAATGTTGTAACACCTCCACTCATATTGGTAACATCAACAGAAATACTCTCGACCGCCTCATACCTTACTTCCACAGTGAGTGCAACAACGACTTACACGGCTTACAGTGTGTCAGATCTTGCCAGTACCGTTCATCAACGAGTTGAAGCCACTACCACAACAACTGTTCGTACCACGTATGCAGTCACCAAAACAATCGTTCATACCGAAGATTATATAACCGAGAAAACTATTCCAGTCTCTGCTGTGTCTACATTACGTACAACCGAGTTAATTCCTAGCGTGAGCACAGTTCAGTTCAGCACAAATGTCGATCAAGTTGAATGGAATGTAGTGACCATCACTCGTGCTGAGGTTATTCAAGAAACCAGCAGGCTTCGAAACTTTGAGTATTTCACTGAATTCTCGCGTCCAGATGATATTGTCTCCACTTCAACGAGAATCGTGAACGAATGTTCAACTGTTTCAAGCGGATATTCATACCCAGAACCAAAATCAGGATTTGTGTTTTAAATCGATGAAAATCAGGATAACGCACTGAATTCAAACCCAACTTATACAGCAAATTACTTGTTCCAATTTTCTCAAAACTTTATTTGTGCTACTAAATTTTATTTTTGTTGTCAAACAGGGACCATGTGGGCGGTGATGATGCTTTCCTTAGCCCTTCTAGGAAGGATGGCAACATCGGAATCATTCGTCAGACGAACCTATATTGCACCTGATGCAGTTTTTGAAGCTAGGCCGCTGTCTCAGAACAAACTTGAGCCGTTTAATCTTCTCAGTTTCGATAAAAATCATCGAGATTACAGGCCCCAGGAAATCATCACAGACGTTTTCCCTGAGGACGATTCTTCGATACACTGCATCCCTCGTATCGTGACTAATACAGTCACATCAACCATAACAAATACCATGCCTTTCGCTGCCGTCACTTGGCTTAGTACGCTGGTGAGTACTACTAGCTACTCCGTTCACCTAGACTACACTACCATAACGAGAACAAAGACGGTCGATAACGAATACTCCATCACGCACAGTGTTACCGATTATACAACTTCAACTTCAACTGAGTACAAGACTCAAATTATACCAGCTGACGTTTTTTACGAGACACATACAACGACCTCTACCTTTATTGACCTTCGTCACGTTACGAGCACCGTAACGGACACTCATTACTTGAAGGAAACTGACTACGTCACCATATCATCAACTGAAACCTCAATCGCCGTTAGTTACGTCCCTCTCACTACCACCCAGTTTTACACGCCTCCTCCGGTAACTAGCTACATTAAAGTCACTGAAGAAAACTTTGTGACACGAACTATTGAAGTTCCAGCGTTCACAGCTGTTAAAACGGTGAAGGAAGTGTCAACCTCCACCCAAGTCATCGAAAGGTTTCTCGCCGCTCAAACATCGACCGTTGTTGTCACCCAAAAAGTTCCTGATTATCACTATCACTCTGTTACCCAGTACTTCACATCAACCACAACTCGTATTGAAACAAATGTGATCCTCAGCACAGCAACTTCAACCTCAACCAAAACAGTCACCTACATCCAGAGCTCGACCGATACGCACGTTAGAGAAACCACTGTAACCTCTTCTCAAGATATACAGGTCACGTCACAGGTCTTCAGCTATGAGACCCAAACCATCTCAAAGATTGTACCTTCGTTCTTCAGCACCACCACGACGAACTACTTTACTAAAACTAAAACCCAGACCATAGAAGTACTGAAGTTCGTCACTAACACGGTTCCTCTGGTGGAGACCGTCGTCAGCACAGTGCATGCTCATCTACCAGCAAAAACAAGAATCGTCACTGCAGAGATTACGATTCCTTGTCAGTCATCGACCGGCTACAGTTATCCCGAGCCGGGTTTCTCTTTTGATTTTTAATGGGCATTGACGGTTTGATTTGAACTTTTTTGTAAAGCCTGGACCTGCAGCCAACCAGATGTAGGTCTAGTGCCACATTTATTGTTAGGTAAATGCGATAGAGAGCCAATAAGAGTCGATAGATATCCTCTTTACAGATCGGATCGGATGGGACTCACCTTTTTTTGCCGTTTTGTATGTTTTACGTTTTCCCACTTTCTTAAAAAAATGCCTATGATCATTATGTTTTTCTTTTAGTGATTTAAATATGCATACGAAGTTTCAAAAAGATCGTTCATATAGTTTATTAGATAATTTTTAGAAGAGACGTTCCCCTTAATTCATGCAGGATACATTTTGAATCTATATTAATTATCATATAAAACGTGAGCCAAAAGATGTTGTTCACATGACATAAATTCTATACGATTCATCATTCTATTTTTAAAGATATTTCGTACTTTGGAATCTCTATTTACGTTCACAGATAGTATTTTATCGTCTGAATAAGTTTATCATAGCTTAATACAATTAGAATTAAAGCATATCATATTCAGAGCTTTGTAAGCTACTTATAATTTATTGAATAAACTCGGGTGCCATCATCTGTGTTTTAATAGATTTTTAATACAACCTAGATAATTTGTAGTGGTCATTTTTAAAGTATACGGATACTTTTCCACTCCACTTTTCCCTTATTTCCTTACATGCTTCACGAGAAATTAACAAACTTATTTCCCTCCAAATATTCAAAAAATCTTATAATACACCGAGTTTACGAAGTACTTACTAATCTACAGCAATTTCATATCATTTATTGCCATTTCGATCCTAATCGCCGACACTCTTAAAGGAGAGAATAATTATTTTAATTAGTGCATTCAGCAAGAATTACTGACCGCTACAACAATCAAATGAGCATGCAAGTATCATAAAAGTTTTCCAGCCTTATTTAAAGATGCGAAAGTATGATAGTATCTTATTGCATTTGAAAACATCGCAGGTATATTTGTCTTACACTTTAGCGTAAATCGCTTAACTCAAACTCATGCCGTATGCATGTGGTATACGGCATGACTCATGCCGTATACCACAAAGAGTTAATGCCCAGAGGTGGGCAGTAGCGCGCTACATGTAGCGGCCGCTACATTTTCAGTAGCGGTAGCAGCGCTACATTTTAAGCAATTGTAGCGGTAGCAGTAGCGCCCGCTACATATTTAAGTAGCGATACGAGGTTTTGCCGCTACAGCGCTACCGCTACATTTATAGATAAAGCCTTTAGATTTTACTTACTAATATTAAATATTATTAAAAAACCAGCATGATACATTCATAGTATAGTTTACAGAATAAAACTGTACGAAAGATTTCGGTGTAATGTTGTCAACCTCAGCTTATTACTAGTGTTAACATGTTAGTTGTTACTTCTTAAGTTAATTGTTACCAGTTACCACTTACAGGTATTTTTTCATGTTTCAGTTTGCTCACAGTTATTTTTATGCTTCACCTTCCCTACATGGATGTCTACTTTAATCTGCCAATCTCAAAAATAATCCACATATATATACAAATAAAAGACTTATTTTTCATATATATATGTGGATAATTTTTGAGATTGGTAGATTAAAGTAGACATCCATGTAGGAAAAGTAAACATAAAAATAACTGTAACTTTTATTTACTGTATCTAACCCGTACTAGTTCGGTTAGGTTAATTGCAATAAAGTTGCATTGATATGTTTTGAAAATGTTTGATTATTATTAAATGTTCATGAGTAAATCCCAATAGCAAAACAATAAATATTTAGAGATTTCCAACAATTTTGGCCATTGTAGCGGTTAATGTAGCGGCGCTACATTTTACTGTAGCGGTAGCGGAGCGCCCGCTACAATCTGGTGGGTGTAGCGGTAGCGGTAGCGCCAGCTACATTTAGAGCATGTAGCGGTAGCGGTAGCGCCGCTACATTTCAAAGTAGCGCTGCCCAGCTCTGTTGATGCCATATACCACACCTATATATACGTCATGAGTCATACCGTATACCACAAAGAGATAAAGCCGTATACCACACGTATAACATAATGCCGTATACCACAATGCTTGGCAGCTCAGTTACTTGGCGAGTCTAGAGACAGTAAGTCGGCAAAAACTGACTTGCAATTATTTTAATAAATTATTGCGAATGTATTTCATGCTTGATACGAAGTAAAGTTGAGGGCCAGTAACTTGAATATTGTCGTTATTGCTTTATAGGAAAATAAAAAGTATAATTCTGTAATATTTTCGATATACCATAATTTAGTCGTCATTTTACTTCACAGTCACCATCGCATCTTTGCGTAGGCGCCTCTATGAATGACCGTCATTTCACCATGGCCAGCATGTCACTATATACACTACACATAATCATATAATATATATAATAATAGCGGTTTCTGCGTTTAGTAAGCCGTAGGCCGGTCGCCGATTCTTAACATCGCAGAACATTCACGGCATTTTGCGGTCTCGAACTCGCAACTCACTGCTCCAATTCTGCTGTGCTTAACCGCCCGGCCTCCTCGCCGATTCTGACCAGAAACTGGCGCACAGAGCTGGGATCGAACCCGCGCCTCTCTGCGCCAATCTTGGTACTCTGAACTTTAACCACTCTGAACTTTAACTACTCTGAATTTTAACCACTGAACTTTAACCGTGCTTAATTCATAATTTTATTGCATTTTATACTCTCAAATGAATCCGATTTACCATAACAGGAATGAAAAATTCATTCTCTACAATATCCTGGATATCATATAAATTCTTTTAACTATATCAGAGTAATTATTATTGTGGAAATTATTTTGAGATTTGTATAAGGAAAGATGAATCAAAGTGTATAGACATCGAGCTTTATTTTCAACACAGAACAACAGCAAGAATCTCAGTTAATAAATTCATTCGAATTGAACAGCAAAACAAAATACTAAGATCGAAAATATTTCTTTGGAATTTTCGCCTATTTTACGTTAAATTCTTACAACATTTGAATGAGAGTAATGTGTTATCTATTTTATATCCGCACAATGCAGGTATCGCTTTATTATGATAAACTTAAAGAGAACGAGTCTCAAGTTGATTTTTAAGGAAACGACATTGCGTCATAAAATACAACTAACGAAGAATAATTACATTAAATAAGAAGATTCTCAAAAAATTCCTTCGGCTATTTTCTTACTACTGCACTGTAACCGCTAACTCATATTAGCAGCCATAGAAGTAAATGGCAAGTTAAGGAGAACAAAAAATTGTCTTTGTTTCTCTGTAACAGTTTTATAAAAAATCAAAACAGCAATGTTCGTTCAACAAATGTTTTATAGAATACTTCCAAATTCGCAGGAACGAGAGTATTCATGTTATTGAATTATTCTCATATGTTAACATTCAGCTAAATTCCTGGAATGTCGTCTCTTTCAAACTAATCACTGATAAACTGCATACATAGAAAAAATGTCCCCCGACACCAAAAAATAACCCCCTCACTAAATCTATCCTAAAAGATACAAAAGATGCACCTATTTGATCATAGAAATATTTAGAAATACAAATTTCACCCTCATTAATTGGGTTCATCAATATCATTAATTTAATGAAGAATGTTCAAACAAATTGATCAAACAATCGTAAACACACAAGTCAAAAATTTTTTTTATAAACATATGGGCTTTCATTGGATGCGCATAGCATTCCTGCAGGCTCACTGTCAAAACGGTCGTGAATGTAATTACCATCCACACGGCTGAACAACTGTAGTGGTAGAATAAACAGTGGGCGCGGGCAGAGATTGGACGAGAGTCTCCGTATAAGTGGAGGGAACCACAACGCGTGCCGTTCTTGTAACTCCGGGGTCAGTAATTGTTACGGTTGCAGTCACGTCGAAGTAGCGCAGACTGGTGGAGATGGAAGTGGAAGTAAGTCTCAGAGTTGAGACCCTGGTCTTAGCTACTGCGAAGCCCTGTGTGACAATGACGGATGTCGACCAAGTGCTTGTTGAATCGACGACTGCAGGATATGTGACATCTCTAACTTGGTAGATCGTATTTGTTTCTGTGAGAGTATGAGTTCGGTAAAACGTGTGGGGAACATTTGATGTTATGACGTTGGTCTCAAATGCAATGGAAGGATAGTAGATAATAGAAGGAGTATATGATGTGGAAACAACATACGAGGTTGCACCTGCGACGGTACTAAAGACGGGTACGGTCTGGTCAATGGTTGAGGTCCTTGTATCATAAATTGTTTGCGCTGGCCTCACCAAGGTAGTGGTTTGGTAAACAGATCTTAAATCCGTGTAAACGATTGTTGACGCAGGGAGGTCGGAGTAAATGGTTTCTGTCTGGTCAAAGAATTCGGTTACAACTGAACTGGTGCTCAACGTTTTTGTGTGGTATTTGGTTCTCTTTACCACCACAGTGTCCACCAAGGTAGTGTGTTGCACGACGTTGCTTACAACTGTAGTGGTAGAGGTGAGTTCTATGGTCTGTGTTTGGGCCGGAAGCGTCTGAGTGACGACATTCATAGCTGTGGTAGTAGAGTAAATGGTCCGACTGTGGGTGCGTGAAAATTTGTCTTCAATCACTCGTGTGTTTGTCACTGTGTCGTAAACGGTTTCAGTACGTGTAACATATTCGTTGATTGAAGTCGTAGCTAAGACGTACGATGTGGTGGGCATGACATTTGTGGCAGTAATGGTGTTTGTATTGATGACAGTTTCAATAACGCAACGAGATGACTGTAAATCGTTACCAGGAAAAGTAGGAGCTTGAGGTAATAAATTGGACGAAGGAGGGGCGGCATCGGGAATTTCAGGAAACGAATCATGTAATCCGCCCGGAGATTGAGGAGCGTTTCCAGGTCCAACAGGGAACAACCCCGAAGATGGTGGGAATCCCACAGGAAACTGAGTGTTGACTTCAGGCTGTTGAGGTTGAAGAGGAGGAGAGTTTACTTGTTGTGGAGGGCCATACAGGCCCCGCACAGAGCTCTGCGATGGACCAGATGACCCAAATGAAAATCCTTGCGTTGGACCGATAGGTAGCTTGGCAGATGACGACAGCTGCACGACAGCCAAGAGCAGCAGTGCCCCAGCAATACTTAGCGATGATCTCATTCTGAAAAGAAAAGTGATACTTACAATTAATTTGCGCAGAATAAATCGAATGAAAAGGTTGTATAAACCAGAATAAAAATATTGTCGCTGAGTAGTTTCCGACAAAAAATCACTACACACTAAAAATTAAATAGAGGTTTCATTAATTAACATAATAACCACGAGCTGAACCAATAAATTTAATACTCACTTTATTTTTACAATTATTCAACGAGCCATTCCATTAGTCCCTTATTCGAATTAAATAAAAAATTCCCAAGTAATATTTAGAACAACAAAAATTAAAGACAAGAAGAATTGAAGCAAACACTAAAAATGTTTCCACGATGCAAGTGGATAATTGAAATGTTCAAATTTTATCTGAGAATCTTTATATTATAGGAAACGCAGTTACCTTTAATAGAAGGACCAAGGCTTCGCTGGTGGATTGTAATTGTATCCTTGAGGACGTGATGTGACCGCGCAGTTCTGTCTAATTGTTTGTGTTTGGAATACAGTGACCGCAGGAGCCCTTAGTACACGTGTAGCAAAGGCTCGGTGGAACGACACGGATGTGGTAGTAAGTACTACATCGTGCGATACTCGTGTACTGATCCAAACGGTGTTGTGTATGTCGGAGTTTACTATCTTTGGTGCACCTACAACTTCAGTGGTAGTGGACCAAATCTCCGTCGTGAACGGCACCAAGACGGTACTAGTGTCTATCTGGATCTCCTTGTGGACAATAGTTTCTGTTTCATACAGCGTCTTTGTGTTAATCTTTGTTCTGTGAACTGTCGTAGTAACCTGCGTAGCCGAGGTTACCTGATTGGCGATATAGGTGGTTGAAAACAAAAGACTGACTTGTTTGGTAGCCACGCTGGTGATTTGAGGTAGAATTTCAGTGTTTGTTATGAAAACAGGAGCCTGAGTAACGAGATTAACGCTGGGCACAGAGACAGTGGAATATTCTACAACAGGAACTATTATTGGCTGAGCTTTAACTTCTTCAGTCATCACAATAGTTTGAGTAATAACTCTAGTATCGAAAACTACTTCTGGCGTTACTGACACATGTTGAGTGACTCTCTGTACCTTAGTGCTAGTGATATAGGCTGTGGCTACTTCATGATGAACGCCGGTGTTAATGTCAAACACATTGGATGTAGTTCTATCGGTTACGACATTAGTGTTGGTGAGCGTGAATGTCACTAATTTATTAGTGGTTCTGTAAACTGCAGGAGGCTGGACTTGAACAGTGGTTACTTTAGTCTCAGTTAACAAGTCTTGAACGGTCACGGTAATGTCTTGAGTCACCGACGCGTGAGCAATAACCTCAGTGGTCCGAATAGCATGCTTAGTTTGCAAATTTTTTACAAAATTACGAGTGGTTCCATACTGAGTTGAGACAATTGTTTCATATTTGTTAACTGTTTCTGTCTTGTAGCGATTGACCACAAGAGTTGATGTGCATGGATTGAACAAAATTTCTGCCGGCACAAATGGGGTATCGTTTTCACTGATGGCTGGAGTGTGTGATGGGGTATCGTTGTCAGTGATAGCCGCCGGCAAGTATGAGGATTGTAGCCTGGTGTATCCCGTTGGTGTTGCAATTGCTAACTGAAGAACGACAGCCAGCAGCGACAACAACAGCAGCAGCTTCATCCTGCAACGAGATGCAAAACGTGATTGATCGAACCGGAGGGCGGCGGACCAACCACGGCTGCACCTCGCTGCAATGGCTGCCCGCCGCCGTGTTACCGCTACTTGACTATCATTTTCAGGACTAATTTAGCAAGACTTTCTATTGATTCCATTGTTATCATTCATTTGTCATTGTTTTAATTCAAATGTCAACAGCCGCCACTCGACTATCATATTTCAGGACTTATTCAACTAGGCAATACTATTTATGGATTCAAGTGTACTGATTTACATGAAGTCGAATAATAATTCAAATGTAAACAACCGCTTCAATACCGCTCCACAGATTCAACTCTGTTGTACTGATTCATGATCACGTATTTACATGTTAAAAAAATAAAAATGTACTTTAATTAATTTAAATGAAATGAAATTAAAATCGACCCCGTTACCGGAACATCATGTTTTATACGTGTTCTGAGCTTTGTTCTGCTAACAGGTTGTAGTTACCAGTTAAGTCGACAGACACGCACAAGTTATATTGATAACACAATTGATGCTAACGTATAATACGTCCGATTGCCTATTTTACATTATAACTTCTATTTATTAAAATAAAGTCTACAAATGTCGATTTGTTTTAAGTAAAATATTTATTAGTTTCAGGTTAATGTGAGTGGGTGAAACTTAATTTTATTCCGAAAAACCCTCATTTATCATTTTGTTGCGTTTATGATTTATAGTAATAATTTTGAAAAAATTCTAAAGTCCATAATTCTTTTTGGGTTTTGCATTTGAGAAATTCAAGACCATCGCATCGACGCCAAGTCTGAAAGACATTCTCAAACGAGAAACTGTTGGATTTCAGGAATAGCTCCAGCCAATATATTAGACGCCGAATAATTCATTATTTCAAACTAAAATTTGTTAAGCTGAAGCAAGCTGCGTGTAAAGTTTGAACAAAATTTTGCCCCTAATTATTCTGTTTTGATAATATTTTATTTAGCACAAATTTTAATGGCGCAAAGCGAATGTAAAAGTATAATTCAACGTGTTTTTCGGAGTAAATTTTTTTGACGAGGGAGAAATAAGTATAGTTTAAGTTATATTATAGAATATAAGGCAATTAATTTTCTGGAATCCTAACTTACTTGTTTTCGGAGAGAAAGGCTGAATTTGGAGCGAAGAAAGAAGCTTTCGAAGAGAAAGCCTATGGGACAACTGGAGGCCTTAGAACGTCATTCCCCCTTTTATACCAAAATTTTGAAAAAAAACAATCCCTTTCGGCCTAACTTCTCAGGTAAAATATTTTGGTTAAGGGAAATGGTCTGTGTTTTTTAAACCTGCCTTAAGGGGCCAAACTGGTCCAGGAGGCCACATCTTAGGCCTTCTGGATGCACTCGTAGCTACATACATTCACGCATACATTCATGTGAGACGAAGCCGGGCATCCGAAGCGTTCATTTGATGCCAGTTATTTACCTCATCAGTATTGAACTCTTGTCATTTCAAATGATAACAATAAAAGCGATGATGAAATGTAATAGATTAAAAAACGTGTATATTGTTATTATTATCATGTTAATATTTTAAGACGAGAAACAGCTTGCATTCAAAAATTTTATCCTCACTACATACTTTCATTTTTATGACGAATTTATATACGCTTGAAACATTTAATGACATTTTTAGATAAAACTATTATGCTCCATTAAAAAGTAACGCATATTGCAACGAAATAACACATAACTTAAATATTTAGGAAAATACACTCGCTTCATTGTAACTGATTTCTCTGAATACTAATATTTTCATTGAATATATAGCATTAACAATGCTTATTTTATAGTATCGCCAATTATTTAATTGGTTATCTGATCTTTTTCTCAGCGTAAACGGAGATGTGATCGCGTATATGAGATACCAGGTCATAGTACAGACTACCGTACTAATATTCTGTCAATTCAGAATTTCAGAAATTTGAATAATAAATTTGCTGAGTTAGTAAAAGGTATAGAACCCCAATCATAACTAGCAATTTCATGTTTCATGATATGAAAATAGAGTAGCGAACGCACTTAATTTCGAACCCTTAGGAACAAATTCATATTTACGAACGCTGTTACTCAATCCTATACATTTCTGTCATATATTAACTCTGATAAGAAATAATATTACGCAATTATGAATTATTATTCAGTGTATTTCAAAGCATTGGCATTGTTATGGGCAGAGAGTGTTGGATTTGGGGGAAATTGTGATGTATATTTTGAAATAGTTGAAAATTTTAGATGCAGAATGATTTGATGAACGATATTCAAATGCACTAGCAGTAACAAATACAAAAGTTAAAAATTAATAATGGATCTACGGTGAGATTTTAAAATGAATTGATTTAATCGTTTAAATTTTGAATGTTGCATTTATTATTTTCTCTGAAAATTTTCACGCGATATTCCACATTTCATGTGAAGTTCTAAAATTTGTGCACAAATCTAAAATTTACGTGGTACCCCAAAGTCATGCGGAGTTCCAAAATTCACGTAGTGCGCCTAAATGCACGCATTATCTCAAAATTCACCAATAACTCAAAATTCACGCCGTATCTAGAAATTCATACATATGTCCAAAATGCACAAAGTATCGAAAAGTACTTGCGAACTTTCAAAATTTACGCATTACATAGAAATTCACGTGATAGCTTAAAATTCACGCGTTCTTCTTAAAAACACTTGGTATCATAAAATTCCGTTATCCAAAAATTCAGGTGGAATCCAAAAATCCCCGTTCATACCCAAGCCACTGCACGGCCGCGGTGCCGAGACCGGTTTTTGAACGGACTTAGGCCTCCTGAGCCTCCCTGCTGAATTACCACTGTTACCACGTAGCACCTGGACTCCTCTGCGTGTTTCTTTCCTTTCAAATAAACACGATAAAGTGAATTATAAAAAATTTTGTGCTTTTAATTATAATTCTGGTACATCTCACAAAGCAGTTCTGTGAGTATTTTCCTCATTCACTACTTCATTCACTACTTCATTCACTACTTCATTCACTACTTCATTCACTACTACATTTACTACTTCATTCACTACTTCATTTACTACTTCATTTACTACCTCATTCATTACTTCATTTACTACCTCATTCACTACTTCATTCACTACTTCATTCACTACTTCATTCACTACTTCATTCACTACTACATTTACTAGGTCTACCAGCCTGCTTTCGTTTTTAGCACGTCGCCCACAGCCTTGCGTCTAAACACCGGCGAAGGACGCACGATAAGACGTGCTATTCCAGTGCCTCCTGTTACCCACGCGTTACTAGCCTCCTGTTACCCACGCGTTACTAGCCTCCTGTTACCCACGCGTTACTAGCCTCCTGACCCTCGCGTTACTAGCCTCCTGACCCACGCGTTACTAGCCTCCTGACCCACGCGTTACTAGCCTCTTGTTACCCACGCGTTACTAGCCTCCTGTTACCCACGCGTTACTAGCCTCCTGTTACCCACGCGTTACTAGCCTCCTGACCCGCGCGTTACTAGCCTCCTGTTACCCACGCGTTAGTAGCCTCCTGACCCACGCGTTACTAGCATCCTGACCCACGCGTTACTAGCCTCCTGCTACCCACGCGTTACTAGCCTCCTGTTGCACACGCGTTAGTAGCCTCCTGACCCGCGCGTTAGTAGCCTCCTGACCCACGCGTTAGTAGCCTTCTGACCCACGCGTTACTAGCCTCCTGACCCACGCGTTAGTAGCCTCCTGACCCACGCGTTACTAGCCTCCTGACCCGCGAGTTACTAGCCTCCTGACCCACGCGTTAATAGCCTCCTGACCCACGCGTTACTAGCATCCTGACCCAGGCGTTACTAGCCTCCTGCTACCCACGCGTTACTAGCCTCCTGCTACACACGCGTTAGTAGCCTCCTAACCCACGTGTTACTAGCCTCCTGACCCACGCGTTACTAGCCTCCTGACCCACGCGTTACTAGAATTCTGACGCACGCGTTACAAGCTTCCTGCTACCCACGCGTTACTAGCCTCCTGTTACCCATGTGTTACTAGCCTCCTATGACCCACGCGTTACAAGCCTCCTGACCCACGCGTTACTAGCCTCCTGACCCACGCGTTACTAGCCTCCTGAACCACGCGTTACTAGCCTCCTGACCCACTTGATACTAGCCTCCTGAACCACGCGTTACTAGCCTCCTGACCTACGCGTTACTAGCCTCCTGACCCACGCGTTACTAGCCTCCTGTTACCCACGCGTTACTAGCATCCTGACACACAGGCTACGAGGCTTCGATTTCATACAACAAAACTCGATTTTCGCAACAACAAATTTACACTTGAATTTGCCCAATATATCATACGAGGGGAAACCGGTCAATCACTTGTGCAACGCGCATGAACAACATCGAACATTTGTTTAATAATTGAATTTTTGATTGATTGGATTTTTGAATAATTGAATTTTTGATTGATTGAATTGCTTATTAATTTGATTTTTGATTAATTGAATTATTGATTAATTGAATTTTTCGATTATTTAAATTTCTGATTAACTTAATTTTCAATTGATCGAATTTTCGATTAATTTGTTTTTTTTGCATAATTGAATTAATCTAAAGTGTTATACCATAATTTTTCAATCCGCTCATTTATGATTATTTATTCCTAGTTTATTCACTAAAATTGCAATCATGCTGTTACCGGCCAAAATTAAAACTAAATTACAATTTTCCTTCCTTGCATTTAACTTGTGCCTCGAGTAAAGGTAATTCTGGAACTACGTCCTTGTCCTACATCTAATCAATCCTCTAATAAAATAAAATAATAAAAATTATTTTAAAAGTTTCGACATCTATCGACATGAAAATATATTCGTCGTTTCGTAAATTTTAGACAGAAATGCTCACGAGACGTTTAGAAAACCCCTCATCATCAGCAGTAAATTCAATATTAAAAATTTCCCGCGGCCGTTGAGTGCACAATGGATATCGAACATTCTGCCATTTCGTATAAATTTGATATTCATCTCACCAGATTTTGTAAATTCTCATTCCACAGATTTCTTAACTACAGTTTTTGAGGCAAAAAGCTGTTAAATCATCTTTAATAAACAACCATGACCTGTTCTTAAGATAATAACTAATATCCTGTTATTTCGTTTTCTTTTCCGAGGTGCGAATCTTGAGCGAGGCGCCGCCTATACACTCAAAGAAATGAGCAAGACTTCGTCCGAATAGCGATGCACTTTTGACTTCTGCGCGTGTCTCCCTGATCCAGTTTGGCTCGGCAAAAAATGCGTATCAGTGATACGCACAATAAGTGTGCCACTTTTTGGACAATATGACTCATTTATTCTTCTGGGAGTAGAATTCAGTGTGTCCCGTGGCCTTGACGGGCGCATTACGCTTCGCTTTCACTCACCGAGCTTCACTTTATTTTACATTCATTTATCGCCATTCAATCGAATTTCTCAATTATCTCAATCTCAATTTCTTAACTACGCTCTCAGTCGAGAGCAATAAACTATTCTCAGAAAATTAACAGATCTTATTGTCCAAATAATGACATACTTTGTTACCCACAGTCTGAGCAGAAAGAGGACATAGCACTAACACGCTCAGTTGCTTGGCCAATAAGACCAACTAAAGGGCAAAAACTGCATCGCAATTCTGACAAAGTCTCATTCGTTTCACTGAGTCTAGCTCATTTATTCAAGTGTCTGTAAATCATCGCCATATGTGCGAGACATTCAAAAAAGGTAGAAGAGTTAATGGAGTCCAAATCATTCAAGAAAGTATAAAGAGAACTGACTGGCATGAGCAGAATACAATAACACTGCAACTGTAGTCTCAAATTTCTCGCAGCATTTGCGAATATTTCTTATTTATTTTAACATCGTGAAGGTAACCGCAAAGAATCAATTAGTGTCTTCCAAGTTTATTTGGTCAAGGGACACGCGAGGGCAAGCTCTGCAATTGCGTAATGATGAAATTGATGTCAGCGAGGCACCGGTCGCCAGCCCTCTCCCTGTCTCGTCATGGGCCGGTCATTTATAACACTTCTTTCTTACACAACACTTGCATCACTTACAAGTAAATGCATTTCATGCACTGGTAGCAGTTGCCATGCAATTCATTCACCGGTAGCACTTTCAAAGAATATTGTAAGTGCTGTATCAACGTACAAGAAATATAAAGGGATATACCCCCTATCTGG